TACTGGGCTCAGGGGAAGCTATTTAGTTTGGTAGCTTAAAAAACATTTTGTTCTCACTTACGGAGAAAGCCGTCGGATTTCTGGGGGGTTTAACGCACGGTGGAAGTGTGCCTCGTTGTGTACATGGCGGCAGCATTCATGGTCCCTTGAAGTAATCCATAACAACACAGCAGCTGTGATCACACATATCAAATACCTTTTCTGCACAGAAGATGAAAATTCTGCTAAAATTAACCGCAATTTAGAGCTGACTGTAACTGAGACAGGGTGTAATAAATCACTAGAAGAGAGTTGCTGCATTTGAAAATAGGACTAAAATAGGACAGTGAAGCCATAATGTGCTGTTTTGGGTTTGTTTTTCTAAATACCATAGAAAAATTATTTTTGGAGCAAGAATTTCCTTACTTTTTTTTGAGATATTCTATTATTTCCTCTACAATGTGAACAATTACAAATCCTTGGCAGTTTCACCTCCAAGAGTAGGCTGTTAGTCTCAGGGAATTCAAATAATACTTTACATACTTCTGTGGAAAATAAGAAGGATTACTGCCTACAAGCCATATGATAAGACCTTCCATCCGCTCTTGTTTCTCAGGGCTTGTCCTCAGGCATTTCGGAGAGGGCGGAAGGGGGGTGGTTGGTTCGGTGGTCAAGCAGTCCATGTGACTCTAGGAACGACTTACGATGAGATTAGTGTTTAAGAAATAGAAATACATTTTCCTGCTCTAGAGTCTTCTCCTGAAGCAATTCAGAAACCCCAGCGTGTTTAGACACCTCTCGGGAGGTGCTGGAGGGACGTTGCCACTCGTTGTCAGTGGGGACACTTGAGTTTTGGACCACAGACATCTGTGGCAGACATGGGTCCCCTGAGCTAACAAACAACCTGAAAATATCTGGGCTCTCTGCTTGCTAGGTCTCTAAAAAGGACTTTAGTCTGTCCCTGGTAATGATCAGGTTGTTTTCTTCCCCCGCAGGAGTGCGAGACCTTTGAGAAGTGCTGCCCCAATGTCTGTGGAACGAAGAGTTGCGTGGCGGCTCGGTACATGGATGTCAAGGGGAAAAAAGGGCCGGTGGGAATGCCCAAAGAGGCAACCTGTGACCGTTTCATGTGCATCCAGCAAGGCTCAGAGTGTGACATCTGGGACGGGCAACCCGTCTGCAAGTGCAAGGACCGGTGTGAGAAGGAGCCGAGCTTCACCTGTGCCTCCGACGGGCTCACCTACTACAACAAGTGCTACATGGATGCAGAAGCTTGCATCAAAGGCATTACACTGAACGTAGTCACCTGTAGGTACCATCTCACCTGGCCAAACACCAGCCCTATCCCACCAGAAACAACAGCTCGCCCTACTACTGCCTATTCCGAGACAACGGTCATTGATATCTTGCCGCCTGCTCTGGTGAACAACCCCATCCACCAGTCCGTCTACGTGGGAGAGACCGTCAGCTTCCTCTGTGATGTTACAGGGAGACCCAAGCCAGAAATCACGTGGGAGAAGCAGGTCGATGGGAAAGACAAAGTCATTATGAAGCCAAATCACGTCAGAGGGAACGTTGTGGTCACCAACATCGCCCAACTGGTCATCTACAACACCCAGCTCCAAGACGCAGGCATCTATACCTGCACTGCTAAAAACAGCGGTGGCCTTCTCAGGGCTGATTTCCCTTTGTCAGTCATCAAAGGAGAACCCACATCCAAAGAAGCTTCCCAAAACAAAACACATTTTCCAACCGATGAGTGCCTGAAGCAACCAGACAGCGAAGACTGTGGGGAAGAGCAGACCAGGTGGTACTATGATGCAAAGAAAAACAACTGCTTTACTTTCATCTACGGGAACTGTAACAGCAACCTCAACCACTTTGAGACCTACGAGAACTGTATGTTAACGTGCATGAACGGCCCAATCAACATTTGCAATCTGCCGGCCCTCCAAGGTCACTGCAAGGCCTATGAGCCCAGATGGGCCTATAACAGCCTGACAAAGCAGTGCCAGTCCTTCATTTATGGCGGGTGTGGAGGCAACGAGAACAACTTTGAGAGCCGGGAGGCCTGCGAAGAGATGTGCCCTTTCCCGAAGAACACGCACTGCAAAGCTTGCAAACCACGCCAGAAGCTGGTGACCAGCTTCTGCAAAAGTGACTTTGTTATCCTGGGCCGTATAACGGAGCTGACTGAAGACCAAGACTCGGGACATGCCCTGGTGACAGTGGAGGAGATTCTCAAAGATGAAAAAATGGGATTAAAATTCCTGGGGAAGGAACCACTAGAAATCACACTTTTGAACATGGACTGGAGCTGCCCGTGTCCCAACATGACCACAGTGGATGGCCAGCTCATCATCATGGGAGATGTCCATAACGGCATGGCTGTCCTACAGCCAGACAGCTTTGTGGGGACCTCCAGCATCCGGCGCGTGCGGAAACTCCGCGAAGTCATCCACAAGAAAACCTGTGAGCTTTTGAAAGAGTTCCTAGGATTGCATTAACCTCCCCCACACGTGTCAGCCTTCCAGACCCGTGTGTTACGTAGGGCTAACAAGCGCTAGGCTAGTGCACACACTAAACAAGCTGTTTGAAGATACACCGTAGGAATTATGCAGAACCCTTATTTTAATCCATTAATGATGCTTAGCAACAACGTAGTATGGTCTTTGGCAAGCACGTAAAACAGCAGCAAAAGGCTATTAATCTTGCATTGAAATCAATTCGTCCATATAGGAGTGCCAGTTAACTAGATGACTCACTGCAGTAATTATACAATTTTTATGTAGCTTCCATCATAAATGACGGAATTCATAGCATTTGTTTAGCTAATTGGTACACAGCTAAGTAATATATAATGTCAACTTAATCTGTCTCATTTACAGTACGGAAATGTTATGGTAAGTCATTCTAAGTAAGTCACACTCTTGTCTCCTCATAGCAGCACTAATATCTCAAGAGAAAAGCCTGTAAATTATTGTCTATATTTACAATTGTGCACATTTAATCAATCTATGCCTTATGAATTTGCTTCTTTTAATTGAAATTTTCCTAGCAGTTTTCTTTGGATTGTACCTCGTTTTTAAATGGCAACTACTACCTACTTGCAATCCTTACTTAAGAAAAAAACTCCCTTGATCCTATGCCCAGGACAACAGGTCCCTGTAAAAGCTCAAGGCACAGTCTCACCCTGAAATGACTTTTCTGTCATCAGAACAAGGTCAGCAAATGCCCTCATTCCATTGCACTTTCCTATTTTTGTTTTAATCAATATATTGTCTATCACAAAAACTCCAAGGCAGAAGGACAGCGGTGCGCTGCCAGCTGTCTTGCTTTTGAAAATCCTTTAAACCTGAGCATGTGCAGCAATTTATTGCTTATTTTCATCAGAAATCCTGTTCTTCTAGGCGAGAGAGTAAAGTAAGAGGACTCAGAACAAAATTCAAAATAGAAAAGTGCAATACACAGTCTACAGATTGTAGAACACAGGCACAAAGCTGCTGAAACCAAAATGCACAGATGTAGACACGCAGGGCAGCCAGGCTTTAAAGGCATTTCTCAGCCTGACCCTTTTAGAGCATCCTTTCAAACCACAGAAAACATTTTCCGCCAGGCCGCTGCGTGCACGCGTATGAATAAATACACTAAGACAGACAGCGGGGGCCGTGGGTGCGAGCGTGTGCATACACATAGGATCGATCATTTTAACATTTGTGTGTCCAAAAATGTATCATTTGCCTATGCAAAAAAATCCTTAAATAAAGAAAAGGCTGATCCTGGAAAAATCCTGCCTCCGCTACGGACTGTCCTTGCAGGGGAGAGGGGCGAGCGCGGCACGGCGAGCCTTATCATTGCTCTTTCTTCGGTGGGTTCGGCGAGTTACTACGGCGGTGCCCAGAGCTTGCTGCCTTGCACAAAAGGCCGGTTCGAGGCTGGACCGGTGTCAAGACACCGGTTTTGGGGGAGAGGAAGGAAGGTGCGGGGAGCGCTACTCCGTGGTGCCATCTAATGGGCTTGCCGTGGGGTGGGCAGCGGGACGGTGGCTCGTGTCCGGCGGTGGGCATGCATCTGCTTTTGCAGATGTGCGTTGGGGCTGGGTATGATAAGGGCTGGATGAAGGAGTTTAAATACCTGGAGGTTGGACTAGATGACCTCTAGGGGTCCCTTCCAACCCAAACCATTCTATGAATACGTAGATGCTGGGCTTCAGCATGATGTGCAAGCCTCTCAACCCCCAAAAGCCTGTGCACATCGGGTGTTTTGCAGTTGCAGGGAGGAAAACTAATGGTGAGGGTAACAACGTTGAATGTGGGGCCAGCTCTGGTTCTCGTGAAGACTTCCCATGCCCTGCACTGGTAGCTGAGCCATGGGCAGAGACCACAGAGTGACGGAGAACTGGGGTCCTCTCCCAGTGGTCTGAGCCTGGGTTATGTCCGAAATGCTCCGGCAACAGGAATGACTTGTTGACCAAGAGAATACCTGCTCGGTTTTTTATTGCACCTTTCCTAATTGTACATCAGATAAACTCCAATCAAAGGTCCATAATGTTTGGGCATGTCTTGTAAAGACCATTTTCTGGAGCTGAAGATGCCAGCCCTGCTGCCCTCCGAAGCAGTCAGCACCTCTGCCAGATCATCCCTGGCTGTGGCAAGTGCCACCGTTTTGGTGGCTCATCTGTCATTTTTCAAGCAAGCCGTAGGAAGTGTCTTGTTCTTGCCATACTTTCTAACACAGAGGCATCGGAGGATGAAGGTTTAATAAAGACTGGCTTTATATGGCTCTTTTTTTTTTTCCAAAAGCTAAAGGATTTTGCAAGTGTGGGAGTGTTGGAGTGACTCGGGAGACATGTACCCGGTTGTTCCAGAAGAGCTGGGATGCAAACGTAGCTAAGAGCAAAAAGCACACGATTCATTGCTTCTCCAGCTAACACCTTACAGTGCTTAAGCCTGGGGTCTAAAATGCAGTCTTAACTTTTGCTCCCGGTGAAACCCCTGGGAGCAAAGCCTGCACTTAAAGTGAAGTGAGGGTGCAAGGGATCCGCTGCGCTGAGACCCGGGGTTGTGCAAGACGGAACGCGTCTCCCATTTACTCCCTTTGGGCATGCAGTGCTGGTGTGTGAGGGCGTGCTTGCACGGGGGATCCTGGGGGACATTTTGGGTCAGTTTTCCAACACGGTGCAGTGTGAGGGGACACTGAACAGACCAGCCCAGCTCCCAGACATGGTACAGCCATGCTGGTGTAGCTCCTGCCCAAACTTATGGAGCCTGACTGCTTCCAAACCCCACAGTGTCTGCGGGATGGCTCTGTGGTGTCTGCAGGGGACATGGGTGAGTGCCAAACCCAGCCACCACCCCATACCGGCCCCGCACGGGGACGCGGTCCCCGCTCTGCTACAGATCAGGCTGATCCATCCAGCCCCGGTGGTGCTGTGCAGGCACATCAGCCAGGACCAGGTAGGTGCCAGCAAGCAGCCCCACGGTGACAGGTCACCCAGAGAAGACAAAAATCGGACGTGACCAGCCCCACTGGGAGTGACAAGCCCTGCTGCCAAGCCCCCCAGGGCACACAGGGCTGTGCTTCACTGCATAGAAACACCACGTGTGCCCCGAGGCAGACGGAGCAGTGCCACCGGCATCCCCTCGCCCTCTTGACTGAAAAACCATCCCTGGCCACGCTGGGAGCACCGCACCTCCCCGTGGCATGGGACCGACCCTAACCCCAAGCCTCTCCACCTTCTGACCTTGAAGATTTTAGCTCTCCACTCAAAGCTAGTATTTTAGTTCAGCCTCTTATTAAACCCTTAAGAAGCCTAAAATTCAAGTCTGACCAGTCAGCCAGCCTAGGAAAGCCTACGCACAGGGCCAGGCACTAAAGGATGTCGTTAAAACCTTTGCAAGGTTAATAGGTACTTGCATGCGGCTCCTGACCAGAAAATCCCTTTTGTGTCGCTCATGTGCTCAGTTTTCCATCCTGCTCTCCAGGGTGCATCTCCCAAGGCTGTCAGAAACCTAGAAGGAAATGCCAACATTTAAAGTTTGTATTAAATGTATGAAAGGAAAGAGAGAAAGGGAAAAGCCTGCTCGGCTCCTCAGCTTGCACGGCAGTGGGCTAGGAAGGAGCACGAGCACCCGTTTGAGGCTCCAGGGAAGAGCTGGAGGAAGGATGCCACCCCCAAAGCCACATAGCCACGGCCAGTAGCCACTGTCAAAGCTCTCCTCCAGCTGCGGACACCAGAGGAGCAGCATTTCCCGCAGACACCAGCCGGGGAAGCAGCAAGGGAACAGACCCACATTAGCTGGGTCTGAGACCTGCAGGAGCTCCTCAGGGCTCAGGGACGGCCCTGATGGACACTGCTGGGGGGCAGGAGGGCAGCGCAGGGCTGCTGGCACCAGCGTGGCGTGCCCCCCTCCCAGCCTGGAGCAAGGATGAAAAGTGCAACACATGAATCTGCAAACCCTGAAGCTAGAGCTCAGTGGAAACCACCCAGCGTATGGATCCAAACATGAGTCACAGGTTATTGTGCAAGCCGTCTGTGCAGCCCAGCGCTATTAACAGGGGGACGAAAGAGCAGGAAAAAAAAGTGATGGCATGCAGCTTCTACACGGGGACTGCTAGAGCACGTCCAGATTAGGCAGAGGGCCTGATGCATTATACAGCTGGCAGCGCAGGGCATGAGGGCCCCGCGTTAGCATGCACGGAGAGATGGCTGGATGATTCCTTGGAGATAGGATCCTGCATCGCTGCAAAGCCCGGAGTGGCTGAGGTCAAAGGAAAGAGGAAATTGAGTGTGTTCTCATTGCTTGAGATGAGGCCAGGCAGAAGTTTTTATGGGTTCCAGAACTAGGAGCAAACAGAGATGATGACACCACTGGAATATGATTCAGACAGCAAAGGTATTTAAAAGCTTAGTTCCCAGTGGTTTCAAAGGGAATTAGGGACCCCTGCAAGAATTACTGCCTTGCAAGAATTACTGTCTTGCTTCCTGGGGGAGGTAGCTGTGACGAAGGTCACGCACGGCTTCAGCCAACACCTAATGGCTTCCTGCAAAAAGGAGGAGTAATTCAGCCGCCACCAAATTATCACCTTGCACCACAGGCCCCACTTCCTCCACCTGAAGAACTTCGTGCCCCAGTTTGCTGTAATTCCTGCAGCATGCACGTGCTGTGAAATTCTCCGTGTAGATAATTACCAGGAAAAGACCATGGCCAGGCTTGCTATCTACACCGAGGCTGGATGGAGCCAGGTTTCGAAGGCACGGCTGCGAAAATGTCAACCTGAGTGAGAACTTTGAGTTTAGAGCCTGTGTTTTTATATCAAATATTTAGTGTGTTCCCTTTCGCCAGCACTAGTTACTGATTGACTACAAGTGACCTCCAGCTGCCTTATTGATTTACAGCGGTTGTCAAAGGACAAAAAATGAGCCCCATGTCCAGGGTCTGAGGAATACTCTGAATGGAGGTTGCACAACTGAATAAATATTCTGCCAGCTCTTTAAATCTTAGGA